AAATAAATTTAAGGAACAAGAAGTTGGAATTGGAACCAATTCCAATGTTCCAATTCTAGAAACCAAGAAATATATGTTAAAAAAATATTAATTAATTGGTTTTTACCATTTTTGGCAGAAACCTAAGAAAAAGGAATTGGTTGGTTTCCGCCGTCGCCTCCCAAAAAAAAAAGGAGAGAGAAAGAAACAAGAAAGACAAAAAAAGAAATAATAATAATAAAATAAAATAAAAAACTTTACCTCTGTTTGCAAGATTTAACACTTATTTCTAATTCTCATAATTCTTTCGTATAAATAGGCAGGTAATGGACTTTATTTAAGCACAACTTACCATAAAACATAAAAAGTCTGTTTAAATAAAATTTGTTATGGGTCGCATAAAATAAATAAATAATCAAAATTCTATCAAAAAAATTATTATTCTCAAATTTGAAGAATAAAATTCTTATCAAATTCACATTCTGTTCTCAAGTCTTCCATCCGTATTAGTTTACTAATGGGATGTTTGAGGTCAAATTAAAAAAAAAAAATCAAAATCGAACAAATCAAAAAATAAAATCGAAAGTCAAGATTTATTAATTTATTTATTTCATAATAAATAAATAACTTTAAAGGGGCATTTGTAGACATAAAAAAATTGGATTGGATCGATTTAAATCATTAGCTCAATTAAATTAAAGTCTACTAAAATCCATAAAATCCAAGGGCCCATGCCAAATTTTGAATAAATAAAATAAACAAACAAATAAATAAAATCGTAATTACTCAATTATCTCATTTAATTAAATATAATTGAGTATTACCAAGATTAACATGGATTATCCCCTATAAAATAGGACCAATGGTCCATAAGATGGGTAGAAGGAGAGGTGAAAGCTGAAGCAAGAAAGAAAGCACAGAACGTCATGAAGTGCTAAAGAAATTTCAAGGCTAGAAGAATCGAAGAAATTCTCTCAAACCTAAACTCGGTGAATTCCAAAAAGATTAAAATCTTCTTCAAATCGAACAGGTTCAAGCCAAGTTCAATGAGATCAAAGACTTCCTCAAATCAAATCAAATTCAAGTCCAAGTCTAAGCTCCGAAGTTCAAGTTCTGAACAAGTCAAGTCTCCACAAATCAAATTTTCAAAAAATTCTTGAAGATCAGGATTCAAGCCACGTGGCCCCTCGTCTTCAAATATTCAGATCATTAATAAAATGATTTTTGCAATTTTGTAATTACAAGAAGGTCAACATCACTTATATTTATCAAAATATAATTTGTAACAATTTCTATATTTTAATATACGAAATTTAGTCGTACAGAAGCTCCTTGCACAACAAAGCCTGAAAGCAAAATGTCATCATCGATTCTGGTGTGGCACCGGATTGTAAGAGCGTGATGAACAAGATCTAGGACAAATTTGTGCCTGGCTATCCCCCATGATCATTAGAAATAAGTTTAATATCTCCGTAAATTATATGGAATTTATGAGTGCGTTTCTGTTTGAAATCAAAGATTGTCAACTTTTTATAAAAGCTCTTCTAGTAACACTTTCAAAAAGTCATCCAAATATGTTCTAAACCATCTTGTTAATTTCAGAAACATTTTTGACATTTCAAAAGTCTTCCCTTGAATTGTCACAACATTCCTACACCATGTAGGTATTATGCATTAGTTTAGCCATGCTAGGAGTGATTTAGAAGCATGTTTCGGAGTTTTCAACTATTTAAATTATAAATAGGTATAAATGATTGATAGATAAGTATGTAGTATTTGCAAGTCGTACGGAATGTATGGATAAAAAGTGATTTGATCACTACTCATTTGCTGCTTAATATTCAAATCACATTCAAGTCTCATTTCAAACGGGAATCCAGAGAGTGAGGAAGGGGAATGGTCCTTCAAATGTCTGATTTATATCCCTCCAGAAATAACAGAAAATATCAATGGGAAGGTAGGCGTGACTGGGCTTGACTTGAGTACTCTTATGGGCAGCTTAGCAGCGGCTTACTATACTGATATCGTCGTGAATTCTTCCATGGTAACGAGCCTTAGCACGTTGACTGTTCAGGTCGGTCCAATGAACGAAGACACGGGAACAAGAAATGCACTCTCGAATGGTGTTGAGGTTTTCAGGGTTAACTATTCTGTTGGTAACCTAGAAGATGAGTTTGGTGTCGATGGAAAACAGCCAATCGTACGGGGAAAGGCACGGTGGGCAGTCGGGTTGCAACGATGTTCGGAGCCTTTGTCCGATTAGGTGCAATGGCTGTCAAATGGCAAAAGAGGCCTTAAGATTGGCAGAAGACAAAAGAGCTTCTCTTCTTGGTCACTTCCCCTCCATTCCACTGATTTAAGCTTTATGTCGAACAGTAAGACGTCGTTAGGGTCTCCAAAAAGTCAACTCTTTTCATCGATGACTGGATTGGGCCGTGACTTTTCTTTTACCGAACTGCAGGAAGCAACCCGGAATTGGGATCCAGCCGCAGTCATCGGTGTTGGCTGATTTGGCAACGTCTAACTCGGAGAAATAGAT